CCCCAAAACCCCAAAACCCCAAAACCCCACTTATATAAATACCCCAAAACAATTTACAATAATTATCTAATAATGGCCAAAGACACTATCACCAATACCTCAACTCTTCCATCCCTCGACTCCAAACTTGGCACTCAGAAGTTCAAGCTGACTGGTCCCTTCGATCGCATCGATGTGAACACCCTGGCTGAGCCTGACTGCAAAAGTGCTCCTCAAAGCAAACTCTTACAGTAAGTTTCCACTTTCGAATACCTTAGAAAAATAATTCTTATCAATTTTCAAGGTCGGTGAGATAATTATCATCTCCTATTAAGAAGTACGCTTCATCTTATTGGAAAGATTATTCTAAGTATTTCTATAGGAAAAGGATGAAATTTTGCTTCTTGAAAGTTAAAAGTGAGGAAAAAGAGTTTATCAATCCCTTCCAAGCCATCAAGGATATGAAAAACCTAAGCTGCCAAAATAGTCCAACTTCAGCAAAAATTAGAAGTCCTTGAACAACTGAAGGAAGTCTGAGCTACATCTTTGTGCAACCCAAGAGTTCTCACAAGAGTGTTAAGGAGAGTCTACTCAATGAATTTCTAAACCAGCAAGGAGTCTTTCAGATCAACCTGCCTGTTGCTTTGAATGATTACAGTTTCAAATATTAATAAACATCTCCGATAAACCACCACTACTCAGATCCCTTCATAAGCTATATTATACTTAAAAATTAATTTCAACATACTCTATTTTCATCCATCCAATGAGTCTTACAAAGACTTATGCTTTGGCAGGTGAACTTTTACCCCTTCATACCTGCACCCATGTTCCTTAGTCCCACCTAATACTCCAAAATCAGTCACCAACCGCCAAACCATCATCACCTACTCTCATCATAACCCCCTTCTCCTTTCCCTCTCTCTCCCAACCCCTTCCTTCATCCATCCCCCCTCCGCCCAATTCCTGTCTTCTCCGCATCCTTCAGCCCTCTTCAGAAATATTCAAAAAGTTAATTGCAAGCATGGCCAGGCTGGATATTTCTAAGTTAGAGTTTTTATGGGATTTAGGGACTTTTGGAAGGGAAGGAGGGGCTTTTGGGGGAAATGAGGGAAGTTTAGGGGGGTTTTGGGGTAAAAAAGAGGGAGTGGAAAGTGGAGGTTTGGCTATTACTAAACCCTCAAAAATTTCCATTACCTCTAATTTTTGAAATTCTGCTGAAACTTTCAAAATTTCAAATATCGTACTTGCCTCTGTATCCCTCTAAGAGATCTTTCAGGGCTTCTTTGGAGGCTTAAGAGAGGGCTTCAAGAGGGATTTAAGGAAACAGGCAGGGATAATGAAAGCGAGGGTTTAGAGTAGGGCTGGGGATAATACTTTAGGTGATTTTTGAGGAAGATGAGTGCTAGGAGAGCTATTTTGGTGAGAATGGTAAGGAGGGGTTGGGGAGAAAAAGAGTGTAGGGAGAGGGTTGGGAGGATTCTGAGGGGGTTTTGGAGGTGTTTGGAGGGGAAGGGGGTTGGAGAATGAAAGGGTTGGAAATTTTATGAGTAATGAGGATGTAAAAAATTCATTGAAAAGGTGACTATTGCTCTATTGTTATTACTGAATTATTATTTCTTTTGTCAATTATTTTTTCATAAATTTTTAAATGTCTATTAAGTACTCTATACACATCACAGAATTTCATATAAACTAGACAAATAAAACACATCTTATTTCAATAATCTCAAATTTTCAAAAATATCAATAAACCGATTAATAACAGCACAAAAACTCTCTGTCTCTACACTCATACATTCATACTCATAAAATACCCTATTTAATACAATCATCGCCTATTTCCCAAAATACCCTCATACTAATTCAAAAGTCCATCACCTCATCTCCAAACCTCCGTCCCTACCCCACCCTCCACATCCCATCGACCCCCCTAAGCCCCCTCGTCCTATCCAATCCCCCCAAACCTCCAGCATCCCCTTCCCCCTCCTCCCCCTCAATTCCCAACCTCCCATTCCCTTAAAACCCTCTTCTTCCCTAAAATCCCGAACAAATTCAAAATCTCTTCCTGAATTCCCCCTCTCATCCCATTTTTCGCCAAGTAAAAAACCTAAAATGTGGTATAATAGGAATAGCATGGTTTCAAAATGATTAGTTAAAAAGGGGTTTTGGGGTTTTGGGGTTTTGGGGTTTTGGGG